GCCGAGAAGACTGGCATCCGTCCTTATGACTTCCCTGCATGCAGGTGGAGGTCCTAATGGAACTCCTTTGAGGAGAAACTGCTGCTGTGACCAAGGTGCTAGGGCTTGCATGCAGCGACGTGTGACTCTGATCTTTGTGTATTTGTCTTGTATCGGACACAGGCGTTTTTGGATAAGCCAGCACTGGAATGGCCTGAGCCACAATAATCCGAGTGGTACTACTGCTGTTGCTGCTGTGAGCTTCCCCAAGAGTCTTAAGAGAGCCACATAGCGCTGAGTGTGAGCCTCTTCATAGCTCTCAGAATTGACCCTATTCTCTCTGAAGCAAGGCCTATGTAACTGGTTGACTGCGTCGGAACAAGCTTGCATTTGTCCCAGTTCACAGTGATCGCCAAAGCTGTGATGTGTTCCAGCAGGTGACGAGCTTGATCCATTACTTGCTAGGGTGATGCTGCACAGACAAGCCAGTCGTCCAGGTACAGTAACACCCTCATGCCAGACCTCTGGAGTGGTTCCAATGCTGCCTGGACGAACTTTGAAAAAACTCTTGGTGCCAAAGCCAGGCCAAACAGAAGAACCTTGAACTGAAATATTTGGCCCCCTATGGCAAATCGAAGGAACCACCTGTGCTCTGGTGCAATCGGAATATGAAAATAGGCGTCCTTTAAGTCTATTGTCACAAACCAATCTTGCGCCATGATGGCCTGCAACACATCTGTTGTGCGTAACATTCTGAACGGCAGAAACTTGAGAAAATGATTTAAGTTTCTTAAAGCCAAGATGGGGCGAAACCCGCCGTCTTTCTTTGTGACCAGAAAATAAATGGGAAAAAATCCCCCGGGATGAACTTGGGGATCGATGTATTCTATGGCACCTTTGCGCAACAACACCTAAACTTTGTGTGCAAGTGCCTGTGCCTGACGTGGATCGTGAACTATTGTCTGTCTCACGCCGGTGTGAACAGGAGGTCGACAGTGAAACTGTATATGGTACCCTCTTGTAAGGGTAGTCAAGAGCCACTGATTTGTTGTTATTGATCTCCAATGATTCAATTGACTTTCCGTGAAACAGCCCACTGTCGACGTGTGCGTCAACGCTCCTGCAAACGCTTTTCTGTAGAGGTGGGGGGGGCGACGTTGGGAACCTGGGGGTCGGATGTGAGACTGATGTCCACATGGTTGAGTCCCATCATACCTGGGAGGTGGAGGAGGTGGTGGAGTAGTCCGAGAGTTCTGATGGTGGAAATGTTGAGAAGATCTATAAATGGGTCTTACACCGACATTGTGAAAACGAGTACCAGAGGCTGCTAGAGGAGGCCTGGGTTCTGAGGCAGTCCCCACATGACGGGAGTGAGTTTCAGACACTGACACACGCCGGTCCAAGGCTTCCTGTGCAGATGGTCCAAAAATTCGACCAGGTACCAAAGGCAATCTCTGCTAATTGTTCCTACATACCTCCAGCAAAGAGGACTGGGCCAACCAAACTTGCCGTCGAGCTTGTACAAGAGGTACCTAAAGCTGTTCCACAGTGATTGGCAATAACATCCATGGTCTGCAATGTAAGTTCAGTTAAGTCTGTCACTAATGGGTCAGATGAAGTTTCTCTCAGAAAGGAGTGTAGAACCACAAGCATGTGCACCAAAAGAACTGGAAACACAGCCAAGGCGCGCTGTTGCATTGTATGCACGAGACAGTAACTCATCCTACACTCAACATTGGGGCAGCGTACATTCTCACAAAGCGCCTCATCGGGAGATACAATAAGCGCTGCCACACTAGATTCTATAGGTGGCATGCTACTAAGTCCTACTGTCTCTGGGTCTTGCATTACAGCTAACTGATCTGGACGTTTAGCCTTCGTTGAATTTTGAAATGCAGACACCAATACAGATGTAAAGTCATTGCACTGAGGCATTGTAATTGATGTTCTCTGTGCACGACAGAGAAAAATATTCTCAGAACCCACTGCTGGTTGAGGGGGATCTAGATTGATGCGGGAAAGCATAGCTTTTAACGTTCCTTCCAGGGATGCAAAAACTGAAAATGACCCACCTGACTGCACAGACATGGTCTAACTGCCGGAGTGCTGCGATGGATCTGCAGGCAGATTTTCCTCAGCACCCGAAGTAACATCTGGAATGGTTTCCATTCAGTGGCAGCCACTGACATCACATCCAAATCCTGTCCTGTATGCATCGTTGGTGAAGATGTCATACATAACTCAGGCTGAACTTTCTCTCGTACATCTGTTTTAGGCTGAGATTTAGCCAGAAGTGCCAATAACAACTCTACTGCAGAAGACAGCTGATCAACTTTGCATGCTAAATCAGAAGATTTCGTTTTCTTAGTCTTCTTTTCACTTTGAGATGCTTGCTTGCGTTTACGATCAGCTGTGGTGATATTTGATGAATGTAACAAACTATCCAAAGCAGATTCCAGACCCGCCAGACGAGCGCGACAACCCACAAGCGGCATAATGGAGCATTCCGGGCACGAGTCAAGTCAGTGCCTCTCTAAGATGATCCATACCAAGACAAGCAAGACATTGGCGATGTCCATCCATGAAATCCATTGCATTAGGGCATGTAGAACATTGAAGTGCATCCATGTTAACGCAATACTCGCCCTAAAGTCGATAAATCCGGCACACGTTAATTATTCACACTGCGATCAGGTGCGTATACGCTCTCAGCCGAGGCAGCCAGGGCTTCCGAGTGTATGTCGTCACAGAGGCATTCAAACTTGCCAGCATCCAGCAGAATGAAGCCTCTTGCGTGATGCAACCTGTATCTCACGATCACTGTGCGCCGTGAGATGCGTGTAAATCCAACAATCCATATACTGAATCGATGTAATCAAGACGAAACAGCTCGTGATATATCCTGAAGATCTCTTCAGCAGCAAGTTGCACAAAATATCGTCACATTCGATTCAACAAGCGAGAATGAGAAAGAGGTCGAGGTGTCATGCTAAGGGGTTATTATAGCTCAAGGCACGTCACGAGGTGACAACTTTGTCATTCAATTTTCGGTCAAGCGTGAGCGCGAGGAGTTTTCCACTAGTGCCTTCCGCACTGCCTCTGGCGGGCTGGAGCAAAAGGAAATAGAACTGTATGTTAATTCTGCTATCATAATTTACGGAGTTTTGATTATTTTGTTTCTCAGTTTCTAATAAGAATGAGGCAGGAGAGGTTTCTATGAGAGTCTCTACCTATATATAGCACATGTAAAATGAGCTTCACCGGAAGATTACGAGCTGGCTTATCTTTATCCGGAAGTTCTAAATAGCGCTCTGTGCATATGGTCAATTGTACACATTTTCAGTGGTCAAAACCCAAATGTGGGTCAATTTGCAAAAATATGATACTTCTTTTCTTTTAAAGAGGAATGTCTGAAGTACAAATAATGTTGAAACTAGAGATGCATCTCGTTTCCTTCTGTCAAAACAACTGCATTAAACATAACTGTCAGAGTGCCATAAATATTCTTTTTCCCAAGTTTGCATGCCTATAACTCAAGAAGTATTAAAGATATCGCAATATGATTTTAGATTCTAGTTCTTAATAAACTTTTCTTTTGGAATCTTCATTTTCAAGGCCCTACATTATTCAGTCCCAAAGATAGGGGGGTCTCAATGAGGCACCAGATTGTTGAATATTACCCATTTTCAGCACTCGAAAACCAAATGTTGGTCACTTTGTATACAGTTGTTTTGACAGAAGGAAACAAGATACATTTCTAGTTTCAACATTATTTGTTCTTCAGACATTCCTCTTTAAAAGAAAAGAAGTATCATATTTTTGCAAATTGACCCACATTTGGTTTTTGACCACTGAAAATGTGTACAATTTACTTCTGGAGCCATATTGAAATTCCATTATCTCTGGAACTGAACAATATAGGGCCTTAAAAATGAAGAAGTCAAAAGAAAAGTTTAAGACCCAAAATCTAAAAGGGCATTAAAATATCTTTTAATACTTTTTGAGTTACAGGCTTGCAAACTTTGGAGAAAAATTTTTTAAAAGTGCTCTTTCCTCATTTTTGAACGGTCACCATTGGCACATAATGCAACAAAGATTGCTAAAGTCAACAGATTTTACTAATAGACCTACTAATCTCTGTGTAAAAGTAACATTATGATGCTGCCATCTTTCTGAAGTCATTTTACCCCCCCTGTAATTTGACTCTGAATCTCAGGTGAAAATTGCTATTTTGACCCCCTTCTACAAAAAAGCGGATTACTCGGTAAATATTCATCCATGACATTTAATATTTTGGCTTTCATCACTAAACATGTTTTTCTTTCTTCAGAAAAAATATTAGCAAAATCAAAAATTTGAGCCGGGGACCTCTGGTTGAGTTGACACGGAATGTGACCCTATTATTATTATTTTTTTATGTAGTGGTGTTAGTAAAGGTAATAGTTTTTGTTACTACTTTACAAATATGTTATTTGGTTAGAATGTGACCCTTTAATCATAAAAGTTGTTTTATGTGTATTCTGGTTATTTTGTTTTGAAAGTTTAATCTAATGTCTTTGTTAATTTAATTTGCTGTGTTATTAGGACACAGGATTCATGGATGGAGCTCCAGCTGCCAAGAACTACAACCTAAGAGACATAAACCGACATTTATATGATGCACTGGTGCAGTCAGTCATGAAGATTGTGGAGAAACTTGATCTTTCAGTGCAGAAAGTCAGTGCAGCTGAGGAGGTACTGTTGCAGTGCTGCACCTTGAATGAATAGTAAAAATGTGGATGGTTAAAGAAAAGGAGCATCAATTAAAAAAAAAGATTTATTTTTAATACGTTTTGAGTAATTTGGCCAGTTGAGTGAAATATTTCTACTTTTTCTTTGGCACAGAGTGATGCAAGTTCTGGATTTATGCCCTCATCTGACCCCACAGCAAACCTTATGCCCAACAAACCCAAAGACTTCATTGCCTTTATCAACTTGGTTGACTTTTGCAGGTGTCATAACTCTCTTTTTCACTGGAACAGTCAGAAATCAAACAAAACCACACTCTTATTTGCGCTCTTTTTGCATGAGATTGCATACATAAGATTATTGTTATCCTTTTTATAGTGAATTATTGCCTTCAAGAAATCCTGAGTATTTTGCCCAGTGGATGCACCCCCTGTGTCATGAGCTTATTCTGCAATCGATACGTTTCCCTCTGGTCAGCGGCTTTTATAAGCTCCTCTCCCTTTCTATGGGAATTGCCAAGAAAATCCACTATTTTCAGGTATACACATTCTAACATATTAATATCTCAATTTAATGTCTTGATAAACTTTGACAAAACCAGTCATAAGCCACCTCTTATTTATAGGACCTAAAACAAGAGTCAAAAAGTGTTGGCGGTGGCTCAACCATGGAGAATGCCTGTTTTTCACTGCTTGCAAAGTTTGGAAAGGAGGTGCATTTTTAACTCTTTTTGCCACTTTTATTTCTGTGTTGGATGCTTGAACATTGCAGTGAGCTTTGTTTCGTTCTTAATAAAGGAATTTTTTTTTTCTAAAAGAAAGTTTTGTTCATATGGTTGTATATGATGAATGCGATGATGAAAAGTTTCTGTAATTTCCTCAGGTTTGTGTGCGTATGAAACAATATAAAGATGAGCTCCTGGCTGCCTGTCTGATGTTCATCCTCTCTCTTCATCCTGACATGGTGGCTCTGGATATCAAGGCATATATCCCAGCTCTGCAGGTTAGAAAATGAAAGCCAATTTTGTGATATTTTTTAATTAACGGCAACTAGGTATCACATTCTGAAGTCATTCAGAAACAAACTGAAACATGATATTATGGTGGTTATGGAATATCATCATCTATTTTCTTTGTTTTGGTTGCAGGCTGCTCTGCGGCTAGGTTTGAGTCATGCTCCTTTAGCCACAGCAGCACTGGATGCTCTGGAGTCCTGGTCTTCTCTTATTCCTGCTGCCATCATGCAGCCACACTACGCAGACATACTGCCACATTTAGATGGCTACCTCAAAACAACCACTAACTCAGGTCAGTTATTCATAATCTCATCATATATTTCCTAAATACTGTACTGTCAAAGAAATGTTCACTGTTTACTATTGTAAATTTACTTTTGAATATATCTATGGGTCAGTGATTATTATGGAATTCCTCTAGTAGCTGTTTCAGAGTCATTTTTAATTTTTTTTATTTGTTTTTAATCATCCCATTAGAAAAAGATGATGGCAATATGGAAGTGACATTTGTGTCCACGGGAAGTTCAAAAAGTTATGGAAAAGTCATGATGAGGCTTCTGAAGAAATCGAAACACTTTTCTGTGGTAATAAGATTGATTTATTTGCCATGTTTTGTTAATCTAATTGATTCAGAGATGTAACTCTGAAATAATATATAATTGCATGCAAGCGATGGTTAATTGAGCACATTGAATGCAGCATTCTGATGTTCCTGTGGTCTTCGTTAGGGAGATGAGTCTCCGATTGCTGCTGTGAGACGCAGGGTGGTACGTCTGCTTGGACACTTGGGAGGACAGCTCAATAGGAGCCTTGTGACAGGTTGTTTTGTTTCTGCTGCTTTTAAATAAATTAATCATTGGCTTTCTTAAACAGCCAGTACTTGTAAACTTTGTTTGCTTATTTTTGCTTTATCTTGCTTAAAAACGAGCTCTTTTTAAAGTTTTCTCTTATCCGACCCAAGCTGTTTCTGCGGAGGACATGATGAAGCGTTTTGTAGCATGGGACTGTGAGAAGAGGCTGAGTTTTGCCGTGCCTTTTAAAGACATGAAGCCTGTGATCTACCTGGACTCCTTCCTGCCACGGGTCACGGAGCTTGCACTGTCCTCCAGTGACAGACAGACTAAAGTAATCACAGTCCTCAGTCATCTTATCTAGGTTGATAAGGTTCATTAACGTTTTATTTATTAACCCAATAAATTCAGGCTAAAATTGATAATTCTGTTTGGTGTGTAGGTGGCAGCATGTGAGCTTCTGCATAGTCTGGTCATATACATTGTGGGAAAAGGAGCCCAGATGACAGAAGACGACAAGTCTGCTCCTCCCATGTACAATCTACACAGAAAAGTCTTTCCTGTTCTTCTACGCTTGGCCTGTGACGTCGACCAGGTCTTTTACCTTATATATGCTCTTTAAATTTGATGAACAGTTTTTGTCCTTCATCAGACACTGTAAAGCAGTGGTTCTCAACCTTTTTGCATCCAAGGTTGCCCATGTAGGCCAAGATATTTCCTCTATTATTCTCCTGTAATGATGACACACCTGCTTATTTTCAAACGTTTTAATTAACAACAGTATCTAGGATGTTTCAGTAATTGTTCTTCAATATAAACAGCAGTTGTTGATGGAGCAAAAAGTGACTCATTTCTGTTTACACTAGTTATTTACATCGTTATTTAATTGTTAAAAACCTACAATTATTTTTAACGAATGAATGAGTGATTTACTTTAAGTAAATTCAACTAATTTTGTGGTTTGCTGAGATCCCTGGGTTGAAAAGTTCATGGTTTAATATGTACATTTTGTCCTCTTTCACCAGTCTCTGTTACAATTATGTGCAAGTTTGCCAAACATTGAAACTTTAGTACTTCTTCAGGTGACAAGGCAGCTCTTTGAACCTCTGGTAATGCAGCTTATCCACTGGTTCACCAACAACAGAAAGTTTGAGAGCCAAGACACAGTGGCAGTGCTGGAGGCCCTTTTGGTGAGTAAACCCCCTAGTAGAAAAACTTTATTTTATTTGAAATTGAGCCAGATGTCTGTAATTACACCTCTAAATTTGTGTTTAAACATTCGCTGTAATCGTGTATGCTTGTGATGCACAGGATGGCATTGTGGATCCGTTAGACAGCACCTTCAGAGACTTCAGTGGCACCTGTATCCAGGAATTTGTCAAATGGTCCATTAAACAGACAACCCCCAAACAGCAGGAAAAGAGCCCAGCCAACATAAAATCTCTCTTCAAACGTATCTACAGCCTGGCCTTACACCCCAATGTCTTCAAGAGGCTTGGAGCTGCGCTTGCCTTTAACAGCATGTACAGGCAATTCAGGTCAGTGGTCGCATTAGATGGGCTAAATATACTGTAGCCTGTCAACATTTCAGCAATATGGTCTATGCCATCTTGAGTAAATGTAAGAAATCTGTCTGTAGTGAATGCAAATGTTATGCTGTGTTTATCCAAATATGGTTTTGTTTCTCAGAGAAGAGAGCTCTTTGGTGGAGCAGTTTGTCTTTGAGGTGCTGGTGGTGTTTGTTGAGAGTCTAGCTCTGGCCCACTTTGATGAAAAATCCCTGGGTAAGAAACTAAACTGAACTATTTTCATTATCAAAACATCTTGTTTGGTGGTCATGACTTTTATCTTGGCTTTCATATTGTTATTGTCTACACAGGAACTGTCCAGCAGTGTTGTAGCTCCCTGGATCATCTGAAGAGAATCATCAAACACAAGGCAGACTTGCTCAATAAGAATTCAAAGAGACGTATACCTAGGTACACGTACATTTGGTTTTGATAGTATCCTTACAAACTTCATTTAATAATCAAATGAGTAATGCGAGTAAGGTTAATGCGGAAACATTTTGTGTCACTCGCTAGCTGACAGACCTGTATTTTCTACTTTTCAGAGGTTTCCCTCCAGATCAGTCAGTGTGCTTGTCAGATGTAGTCATATGGCTGCTGACACAGTGTGGAAGACCGCAGACTGAATGCCGACACAAATGCATGGAGCTCTTCTATGAGTTTGTGCCTCTGTTGCCAGGTACTGCAAGGAAATTTATAATGAAGGAAATACAGTGGTTTTATTGCCAATCAGGGACTCCCCTCTTTGGAGACTATTCATTGTCCTTCTTCAGAATTTGAACATAACATAACTACATAAAAAAATGTAAGAGAACTGGCATGAAATGACATGCCAAATTGTTCAATAGAGCTTAAAATGAACAACCGTAAAAAAAAATTCACTGGTAACATTCTGGAAGAGACTTTTTTTTTGGCCAATCTCAGAATTTCTGGAAATATGTTCTGAATTATTTACTTTAGTTTAGTTTCAATTGTAAATCATTACAGGTTTTCTAGAAAAGCTTGTTGATAAAAAAATCTGTAGAATTGTCTTTGCATTTTTGCATGGATGTGATTTAGGTCACTTTGCACCTCTAACACTAGGATTGCATCAGAATTGAATATCAGAATTACCATTAAGAATATTAGGATAAACAAAACATTTTCTTTGTGACTTGCAGCTTTATTTCTATATGCATACGCGGTGTTTTCTTTCATTTTTTTGTCAGGTAATGCATCTCCTGCAGCATGGCTGGATGAACAGGTGAAGCACCGTGGTCCAGGATTTCTCATTTCGTGTTTAGAGGGAGGTGGGTTACACTCCCAGCCTACTTTGAGAGAGGTTGAAGCCCCCTTTAGCATCAGAGGCACCTTACAATGGATGGATCTGCTGCTGGCTGCTCTTGACTGCTATAACACCTTCACAAACCTGCGCTGTATGCAACCCCAGAGGATCCTGGGTGGGTGAATCCACATCAAGATATGCCTAAACTTAAGATATATTGCTAAAAAAAATTCTATATCCCTGAAATTATCTGTAACTGTTAAATTAAGGCTAATACTGTCTGTCTCCCATTCCTCTCCTCAACCAGGCACTAGTGAGAAGTCCAGCTTTTTGCCAGCGCTCCGTTTCTTCCTTACGGAGCTGTCCATGCAGGAAGTTCAGGCTGCCAGGGCTTGCTTCAAAATGGGCAATGCCGGTCAATCACACTTCAGCCCTCGTGAGACAGAGCAGTACAACTACAACAAATGCTCCATCATTGTCAGAGTTCTGGAGTTCTCCACCATGGTACTGCAGAAATGTCCACAGGACCTCTGGAAGGTATGATTTATATTTTAAAGGCAACATAATAAATTGAAAAACAAAAGATAATGACTTGCCTTATTTACTTTTGTTCTAAAAGTCTACCTTCAAAACATCCAGTGAAGCAATCAGAATGTTACATCATGCTTCTTGACACTTTTTCACTTTCTCTTTAGATAATGGAGCAAGATGTTTTCAACTCTTCTTTCTTCACACTGGTGGCACTGACGGTGTGTGAGCCCTCTTCCATTGGGTTTAACATGGCAGATCTGGAGGTGATGACTCAGCTGCCAGAGGTGTGCGCTCCTTTGCTTAAAGCTTTGGCATCAACGCCTTACAGGACACAGCTGGAGAGTGGCATTAGGAAGAGAATAACTGTACAGAGGTCTGTTCATTTTTTTAGTAAGTTTCATTAAATTGTGTTGTGTGGTTTTGTGGTTGTTTCACCTACTCTGAAACGTGCTTAGAAGCTCGAATCTAGTTTGTTTATTCCCCCAATTCCATTTCCCCTTCTTTTTTTTCCTATTGTCTCCACATGTACATTTGCTATAAATTGGGATTACAATTGAAATATTATTGATGACATTTTTAAATGAACAGATTTATTGAGTGTATGGTTTATATATGCACTTCTTCATTTATGTGTGTGTTTTCTGTCTTTTTTCGGACAGTGTGGAGAAGTTGTGTGCTATTGATCTGTATGAGGGGGATAACAGGGACAGTCATGCTAGCATGCATCTGTTACTCTTAGCCTGTAAGCAGCTTCACCAGTCTGGGCTTCTCAACTCAGTTCTACACAGTCAGGTACACACTGAATAAATGAATGTCACTGTTAGGGCTGCACGATATATCGAAATTATCGAAATATCGCAAATGTAAATATCGCAATATGCACGCGCACACAGAGAGAGATGTGTTTCAGACCGAGTTGATTCGTCTTTCGCATCTCCTCATGTTTGAACAGACACATACACACAGAATTATGTCAATAGTACCGGTCTCGACGATCATTCTCGTAAATGCAGTTGGTTATGTTTTAAATGAATGTAAACAGCTGAGAAAGATATCGGATGTGTATCATTATACTGGATCCGTGCAGTCGGATTTAAAGGGACAGCTGTGACATTACTTTTTAAGTAATGCTAAAACACTACTGGTCACTTTCAGAAGTTATAGTGATCTTTATTTTCCAAGAAAGAATGTGAAACAAATTGGTTATATGATTTTCATTTTTAAATATTTTAAAATATCATTTAAATTGATTTTACACACTTTAAGCAATATCGTATCGCATATCCAATATCGCATTTTTTAACAAGGTATCGTATATGGCATTTTCTTCAATATCGCACAGCCCTAGTCACTGTAATTCTGTTCAGTCTATACAATGATTGCAATGACATTTAGGTTGTGATGTTTACCGTTTCTCTGTAGGATGCTGGTTATGGTTGCTTTCTGGGCTCCAAACTTCTCACTAGTGTGTATAAAAGCATTGCTCCTGGAAGTGAAAGAAAGTCTCTGCCCTCCATGGATGTTGGCAGCAGGAAGTTGGCAGACAGGCTTGTGCAGTTGGCATTCTGTTTGGGTGATCAGGCATGTTGTTTGAATTGCAGTTAAAATAAGGGACTAAGGGTGGGTTGTACCAACAAGGATTAAATTAAGCAAAGTTTAGAGCTAATCAAGGATTTGTTGATCTGGGTTTTATTTTAAATCGAGTTGTGATGCACCACTTAATTTTAAGCTTAGATTAACAAATCGGGGATTCAAATTCTAACCTGCAATTAAAACCTCCATCTACGAATAATTTTCTCCGCCATGATGGATTCGTCATGTAATTAAACAGCAACAATGCTAATATTCCTTATCCTCTGTCTCTGACATAAGTTGCTTTTGTCGATAAAGGAAATAAACTTGTAAAAGGTCCACCATCTTTATAAACTGCTAACGTACGTAGACAGACCGTTGATCAAACGGCTGATCAAGCAAGCAATGAAAACTTTGAGGCTGTGCATACGGATTTCATAATCTTGAGAGACCTATACTTGGAGGAGCGGGCGTGAGAAACGAGAGGCACGGCCGTGATCCTGTCTTATTTTCTTTGTCGTAAGGCGAGATGCACCGAGATAAGTGATGGATTCACATACCGGACTCGATAGCAGACGCAAGTTTACTATGGGCTGCAACGACCCTCAAAATCTGCTGGCTCAGTGCGCTTTAATTTTCATTTTTATTTATAATAAACACCTCTCTGAGACCTGACGACACACCCGCTGTTTCTGTCTTTGTTCAATCAGCCACATATTGTAACTGTAGGTGCACTTTATTTTATTTAAACCTCCTCACCTATAAATTTAAAGTTAATCCCTAATTGAGATTTAAATCTGAGTTTATAGTTATGGAGCAACAAGATTAAAGTTAATCTATTTTAAATATAAAATAAATTCAGGATCAAAATGATGGTTTAAATGTAAACCTGCTTATTTTTAAACAAGGTTTAAAGTTTGGTGCAAAAGAATTATTAGATAAACCTTAATTTAATCTAGATTTAAGCTTAATCCTTATTGGTGCAACCCACCCTAAGTCTTTGAAGATCTTTGGCTCTTCATGTTTTTGTATGCATCTGTTAAATTAATCAAATCTTGAAACCTGTCTTTATTTCCCTCACCAATTCAGAGTGAACAGACTGTTGGCCTTTTGCTGAACACCATTACGCTCTCCGTCCCTCTCTCTGGCAGTCTGAATCCTCACTTCCTCAGCTTCTCTCATGGAGAGTACTTCTACAGCCTCTTCCAGACATCTCTCAATACTGAATTACTCCGCAGAGTGGAGCACACAGTGCCACTGCTGCTGGCTTCAGCCAACCAGAACCCTAGCATGGTGAGCCATCAAACTAGACAGGACTATGTTTCCTAAAAGCATTGGAAGCCTGTGTAGATTGAAGAAACCACTGGCACCAATAACCCTATGATCTGCTGCTTAGACTTGCGGTGCTGACGGGAACTGCAGTCCTGGTGAAGAAATACACCAGCAGGATAAAATTAGAATAATAAAATGATTCTAGTTGTTCTTCACTTATAATGACTGAAACTGTCTATCTTGGTTTTCTAACATGCTCTCCATCTGTCTGATTGGTTAGACATATACTACAAATAAAGTGCTATTAAGAACGGCATGACCATTTTCTGCATAAGCACTGAGATCTGAAAAGTTGTTCAACTGTCTCTTTAGGTTAGTGTTCTGCTGAACGGCATGTTGGACCATAGTTTCCGTGAGCGTTCAGTCAGAAAATCCCAAGGCTCACTATTGGCTGAACAGGTGCTCAAGGGCTGGGATTTGCTCAGGCCGTGGTGGGAGGGTCCTGCAGCCTCACCAGAGAGCAAAACTTCAGTCCTTTCATTGCTTGCCAAAGTGCTCCAGGTACCACATCAGTTATACTTTATTTTCTGTGCATTTTAAAGAGCCAAAGTGGGTACATGCATGAGATTTTAATTACATTTTTTTTTCTACAGATCGATTCCGCTGTATGCTCCAATACAGATCACAAAGCATTCAATGCTGTGTTCACCACTTTCACTGCCCTTCTCACAGATATATCTATGCCATTAAATCTCAAGGTAACCTTTTCCAGCTTCACTCTGTATTTTGCAAATATGCACCGAAATCTGTATCGGTTATACATTATACTCATTCTTGTAGTGACAAAATGATATTGACACAAAAAGTGAATTTTATTGCATGTTTTGGTTTATGGAGTATATATTTCTTAATTTTCTCTGATTTCACTCCCTTCTCTTCGTTCTCTGTAATTAGAGCCAGGCTCTGATCATGCTGCCCTTCTTCACTACATTACCCAGCATGCCCCTGGAGGAGCTCAAGAGGGCTCTGGAGACTCTGGTGGCTGCACATTTTCCTATGCAGTCGGATGAATTCCCTCGTGGATCACTTCAGTGTAACAACTACATGGACTGCATTCGCAAAGTGAGATATAGGCTTAAACTAGATATCAGATACAAATGTTTATTCAGCTTAATGACTATACTCACAAGTGCATATACTGTCAATTCTACAGATACCATGATTTACTTTTTCTTGTTTCTTACACAATTTCATTATGTCTTGAAATCAGTAAATTAACAACAATGATTAGTTATTCAATAAGACAACATTATTCATGCTCTTTTTTTTGTAAAAGGATAATAATTGGTCGTTCATTTTGATAACCTCAGTTTTTAGAGGCCCTGCAGCTGTCTCAGAGTCCCGTGTTATTGAAGCTCATGGCTAGAGTTCTGTGCCGGGACAAAAAACATATCATGGAGGAGCTCTTTCAGACCTGCTTTCAAAATATTGCTCGCCAGTAAGTTCAAAAAGATTTAAACTTTGTGTGTATATTTACAGTTGCTTAGATGTATTTCTAATATGCATGTGTTGCATATTATTTCTTTTTGTCAGGTCCCAGTTGGAAAGACAGGTTCTTCTCCTCAGCTCTGTATACCAGTCATTTCAAGCCAAAGATGTGCCTTCAAACTCCATGCTTATGGGTCTTATAGACAGAGTCCTGCTACCAATGGCCTCTCACTGCAGCCCTCAAGCACTCTCTCAGTTCTTCATTACTAATATTGCTGATATTATGACTACTCTACAGGCACGCTTCACCAAGGTGAGTTACATTGGGTTATTAAAGTACACTAAATATGATTCAGGTAGATCCGTTCAAATCTAAAAACATGTGTTTGCGCTTTCATTCAAACATTCTGCTATTGTGTGTTTTCCTGTCATCTATCCTCCAGTCTGTTGAGTCAGTGTTTGAGAGTCAGATCATGATGAAGATCGGCTGTTGTAAGCTGCTGGAGGTGTTATACTCTCGTCTGCCTAAAGAGGAGGTCTATTCTAAAAACTCAGCTATCAACCAGGCCTTCTGTAGCACAGGCAGTGCAGAAGGCAATGAGCTTTCCAAGAACCTCCTCAAGTATGTATTTGAAATATGCATTTTTCTCTTTTTTACCTTTAAGAGCAGATATTACACTTTATATGGTCAGGTGATTCAGTGACGATAACTCTCTTGTGCCCCTTTTATGTTATTAAAGTTATATATATTGTTTGGAAAGTCCTTTCAAGTCAGACAGGACATTATTTCCTTTCTTCATGCTGACTGTGAAGGAATAATTCACCCACAATTAAAACTTATTCTGTGAAGTAACTCTTTTTTTGTATTCTACACAAGTAAAAAAGTCTTTTTCATTTGAGTGAGCTATTCCTTTAAATATGTTTATAAGAAATACAAGCAAGTCTCAGGAATTCTGGAGCTAACTGCTGCAAATGCCATAATCATGAAGTAGATGTAATTTTTCAAATCTGAACCTAATCAACACAATACATGTCAGATCGTGTTTTGAGGCCTTCACTGAGAACATGACAGGAGAGACGGTTCTGCTGGAGCTGAGGAGACAGTATCACTGTGCTGCTTATAACTGTGCCATCGCCCTGATCAGCTGCAGCTTCAATGAGACCAAATTCTACCAGGGCTTCCTCTTCACTGAGAAACCTGACAAGGTCTGTTACTGTGCCCACTTCAAGTGTATCCTTCTCTCTCTTGAAGTTGAACTTTGTTCTATATTTATAAGTTAATTTTGTTGTTTGTTTTTACCCCAGAATCAATTCATATTTGACAACCTCATTGATACACAAAGGGTGTACAACTTTCCTATAGAGATTGATGTAAGTGAAGCTTTTAAATATGTTATATTTTTATTTGTTTTGTGTTGTATTGTATCATGTTTACTTGCATTTTCAGGTCCCTATTGAGAGGAAAAAGAAATATGTCATGATCAGGAAAGAAGTGAGTGGAGAAAATGGAGGTGAGTTGTCTGAGGTATCTACAAGCTGGTTAAATACATGTTTAGAAAGATAAATGTCATCCATGAATATTTATGAAAATGCCATTTGTTATCATGTATATTCCCGGGCAGACTGCTTTAAGCATAAATTCACAAGGCACTTTTATAGATGCTATCTGCTCTCTTATAAGTCCTCGTTCTTTTTCAGATGCACCTGTATACCTCTCCTCTCAGTCCTACATGGCAGACAGCAGTCTCAGTGAGGAGATGAGTCAGTTTGACTTTTCCACTGGAGTTCAGAGCTTCTCCTACAACTCCCAGAATCCTTCAGGCGGGAGCAGCTCCAGCAGGACTCGGGTACATCTCAGGAGAGATTCGTTTTTTTTTTCTTTTGTAAAGCAGATGTTATAGGTTTTAGAAAGTCATCTACAATTTTAATTAATAACTGTCTGCGTTGTTAGGAGCGTAAGGAGGTTGTGTCTCAGGATGAGACTGTAGAGCTTGAGATGGATGAGCTGAATCAGCATGAATGTATGGCCAATATGACGGCACTGCTGCGCCACATGCAAAGGAACAACATCACCCCTAAAACCGAGGTCAGTCTCAACATGACCTCAAAGGCATGAACAGTTTTGCCTGAATTTCGAGTCAGAACACTTCTGAATATGTTTTGGTTTAGGGAGTGACACCTAGTGATCTTCCTCCCTGGATGAAGTTCCTGCAGGGGAAGCTGGACAATCCGTCCACCCCGCTGAACATTAGACTCTTCATAGCCAAACTTATCATCAATGCTGAAGAGGTACTGCTTCGGAGGTTTCTCTTTGCCTCTCTGGATTTATTGATATGTTGTGTATGTGGTGTTTTTATTTGACATCTTTATGTCCAGATATTTCACCCATATGCGAAGCATTGGCTGGGCCCACTGGTGCAGCTGGTGGTTTCCAGTAGCAATGGAGGAGAGGGCATTCACTTTATGGTCGTGGACATTGTGGTGACTGTCCTCTCATGGGCAAGTGTGGCCACACCAAAGGTGTGTATACGATGGTATTTTCACTCATGTATTGATTCTCAGGGTACATTATTTGCAAAAATTGTATATGCATTGCATACATTTTAACATATTGTCTATTTATTCCCTTATCTTTCTTCCTGTTTAGGGTAGCACAAGAGATGAGGTTTTGGCCAATAGGCTCCTTGGGTTTCTGGTTAAGAACTGCTTCAACTCCAAACGGGCTGTTTTCCGCCACAACCTGGAGGTCATCCGCACAGTTGTGGAATGCTGGAAGGACTGCCTCACAATACCTTACGAGTAAGAAAACAAATCGATCAAAGTACTTTATTTATGAGTTTGTAAATTAAGTGAAAATATTTAAGAATGTGAATATTTCAGTTGCTGAAATTCTAGGATTAGATGTTTGTGATTCCATGACGACCATGCATGCCAAAATAACCATGCATAGATGAATGGAATGGATGCAAAATCTCAAGAGATTTTTTCCCGTTTCCTCCCATAGTTTGATATATGAACGGTTTGCTGGAACTGATCCCAACAGCAAGGATAACTCTGTTGGACTACAGCTTTTAGGCATTGTAATGGCCAATAATCTTCCTCCTTATGATGCTGCATGTGGCATTGAGGATGACAGGTAAACATTTTGCTGTATGTATGTATGTATGTGTGTATATATATATATATATATATGTATGTATGTATATGTATTTATGTATGTATGTATATGTATTTATGTATGTAGGAGAATGTGTGTGTGTGTTTGCATTAGTATTGAATTTATCATACAAATGTTCAATTTTTTTCTGTAATTATAAATATGAATTTAAAACCAGTGTTGTCCTCTTACAATTCCTGTGTTACAGATACTTTCAGTCACTGGCCAACAACTTGTCATTCATCAGATATAAAGAGGTTTACGCAGCAGCTGCTGAGATCATTGGTTTAATCCTAAACTACATGACTAAGAGAGAAAGTGTAAGTGTGGCTGTTTGTTCCTGCCAAATTGTATCACATTTTTCATCTGAGATATTTTATTTTACATTGCAATATACATGTTGTAAACGTGAAGGTTGTCTTTAGAAAGTATCCAGTAACCAACTATTGTTTTTCTTTGTTGTAGCAAAATGAAGGGCCCTTATTTAATATTACTATCACAAAACTCATGGATTTGAGAAAGAAGGAGGTGGATGACAAATTTATTGTTTGCCTGAGCAAAGTGTCCAAACACTTCCCACCCTTAATGGATCGGTGAGATGAAAATTTCCATCGTATGTAGTAAAGGCTTGATGTTATTTCTGTAAATAATGTTTGTCTTTATATTCCACAGATTTGTAAATCCTGTTTTTTACTTGCTGCCAAAGCTGCATGGCATTTTGAAGACACACTGCCTTGAATGTGTGCAGAGTCGTGCTGATGTCATCCCTGAAATCTACCTGCACCTGAAGACCAAAGGCCTCTCACAGATCATGAGCCACAAGTCTGTTAATACTGCAGGAGTTCATTTCATTTCCTTGTGTTATTTCAGGTTTTATGCCTGTGATTGTAAAATATTAGAGATAAACCCTCTTCACATCACATGCTGTGTCTTTCAGAGATGAAGGCAGGCAGCGGGTTTGTCTGGATATCATACATAAGATCCTGGCATGTCTGAAACCCCAAGAGCTGAAGGAGATTTTGGGAACCGTCACAGCATTTGTGTCTCACCCTTCTCCTGTCTGCAGAGAGAGAATGTATGACATCCTGATGTGGATCCAGGACAACTACAGGTAACTGACTCTACAAACCTCCTTTTATCCAGTCCTGTTTTACTCCTTTTCATCATTCATCACACAAATGACTTTTGTTGTTCATTTCCTCTGTCTAATGTGTTTCTACTGATTTTGTGCTGTTCTCTCAGTCTCCCAGGTTGTTTGACTTTTACAGTTGAATGTTTTACATTTTAATATTTCATCACACATTAAATGTACACTACCATTCACATGTTTTGGGTCGGTAAGATTTATGTTACCTAGCTTGCATTTATTTGAATACAAATACAATAAAAACAATAATTTGTGAAATATTATTACAGTTATTATGTAATTTATTCCTGTGATGGCAAGGCTGAATTGTTAGCAGTCATTACTCCAGTCTTCAGTGTCACATGATCCTTCAGAAATCATTCTGACATGCTGATTTGGTGCTCCACAAACATTTGTTTTTATTATCAGTGTTGAAAACAGTTGTGCTGGTTAATAATTTTGTGGAAACCATAATTAATTTTATAACCACGTAAAAGATCAATAAATGTATAAATGCATCTGTGCTGAATAAATCTTTTTTTTTTTTTTTTTTTTTCTTACTGAGAGTGACTGCAAACATTTGAACAGTAGTGTACATGTAATCATGATGTGTTTGCAGTGACACTGAGAGCATGGAAGACAGCACCTCTGTTGAAGTGCTCAGTGCAGCTCGAGAAACTCTCCTCCAGGGGCTGACAGATGAAAACTACGGCTTACAGTAAGCTGACTAGTTACCTGCTATGATCATTTTAATTTCACTTTGATTTTTCATCATTTTAAATAAAAGCATTAGCATTTGTGAATTTGAAGCTTCTCACAAATCAATCACAAAACATGAACCTAAAGTATTTTCTCACACTCCTATGTGATTTCTCTTTAGGCTTTATGTGCGTAATTTCTGGAGTCATGAGAGCCGTTTACCTCCAGACACACTGGAGCGCATGCTTGTGGTGCTGAAGTCACTGTATTCGTCCCGCATTGAAGAACAGTTCCTCAGTCTGGCCACTGACCTGCTTCTCGAGATGACCAGTCGCAGCCCTGACTACACACGCAACATGTTTGAGTTCCCACTCTCTGAGTGCAAGTTTCAGGTAAGAACTGTTGTTTATTACAGCACTGAAAAAAATCCTCTATCTACATCGTCATAACTGAACTAGACCAAATCTCACCACCGCCCGATGAAGATGAAATGCACTACATTCTATATGAGGAAGTGGCAGAAGCGGTGAAAAGGTTAAAGAAAGGTAAGAGCCCAGGAATCAACGACATAACCGGAGAAATTATACAAGCTGGAGGAGAAAAAGTTACAGAAGAGATACACACAATCTGTAATCAGATATGGCAGGAAGGAAGAGTACCAGAGGAATGGGCAAAGTCAGTCATCGTTACAATACCAAAGAAAGGAGACTTGGCAGAATGCAGCAACTACAGGACAATTGCTCTGTTAAGTCACATGGGTAAGGTATTGATGATGGTATTACTGGAGAGATTGAAAGCGCAGATGGAACCACATCTGTCAGAGGAGCAGGCCGGATTCAGGAAAGACAGATGCACGACACATCAAATCCTGATTCTAAGGCTTATGGCAGAGAAGGCGAAACGTAAAGGATGACACATCATCAACTGTTTCATTGATTTCCGAAAGGCGGAACAAGACAAGGGGATCCCATATCGCCAATTATATTCATCTCGTACCTCGAGAGAGTAATAGACTCGGTAAGAGACAATGACACAGGAATATCAGTCCATGGGTACAAGATCAACAACCTCAAATTTGCAGATGACATTGATCTACTGGAGGAGGATAGAGTTGAATTACAAGGAAATCTGGATCGGATTAATGAAGCAGGAGAGGCCGCAGGATTAAAGATCAACATTGAAAAGACAATGACAATGGTGTTTGGACAAGAGGACATAGAAGAGGAACTGGAGATTAGGGGCAGAAGTATTGAAAATGTCACAGAGTTTGTGTACCTGGGTAGTCTACTGACCTGGGACAACGATTGCAACAAGGAGATCAAAAGGAGAATAGCGAGGGCAACGGGAGTAATGGCAGGGTTCAAGACAATATGGAACAGCAAGCATATCAGAACAGAGACCAAAATCAGCATAATCAGGACATGTGTGATGAGTGTGTTGCTGTATGCTTGTGAGACATGGACATTGAGGAAGAAAGACAAAGATTTACTGCGGGCGTTTGAAATTAAGTGCTACAGGAGAATCTTGCACATTCACTGGCATCAGAAAATCACAAACGTGGAGGTGCAAAGACGAGTTGGAAACACGAGGAGCATCGTACAACTCATCATGGAGAGGAAGCTCAGCCTGTTTGGTCATATATGCAGGATGGAGGACAAGCGACTGGTGAAGTGTGTGGTGTTTGGGATCATGGATGGACGGACACGGAGAGGAAGACCGAGTAGGGAGTGGTTGGATGACATCAAAGAATGGTGTCAGAGGGACATCCACTCTCTTAGCAGGATGGCACAGGACCGTGCACAGTGGAAATGGAGCGTCAGACGGGCATTGGACACCAACGGGCGTGAGCCCATGGAATGATGGATGGGATCTTCATGCTGTTTATTTTCCCTGGGTCTTTAAATCATACCTAGTATTTGATTAATTTAAATCTAAGTTGTTTTTCAAGACCTTAATTTGGATGCCTTCTGTTCTGTTCATGTATTCCAGGACTACGCCATTGACTCTAACTGGCGTTTGCGGAGTACGGTCCTAACACCGATGTTTATGGAGACCCAAGCCACTCAGGGTTTAGAGGCCGCAGGAAGCCAGACAGCCACAGTGAGAGGTCAGATCAGGGCCACACAGACGTCCCTGGAGTTCTCACAGACTCTGGCTCCTGGTGCAGGTACCTCATGAAATATAAAATGAACTTCAGTTCTTTCACTCATTTATTATTGTTCAGTTGATTTTGTAACAGCAGGCTCAGATTTGTCTGAAAAATGTGAGGAGAAATTTATTGTAGGTTGACTAATGCCACTTCAGGTATCTTTCGGTGTAATAATAACCATCTGTTTTTTCAGGACGCCGTTCAGCATATAACTGGTTAACCGGGAGTAATGTGGACACACTGGCTGATTATTCGCTTTCATTTGATACTTTATCATCACTCCTGGTATTTGAGAAAAAGAGATCAGAACGGCCCCAAGCTGCCTGGAGAGCCGTGGGTGCAGGGTTTGGCTCTAAACGCCTGACTGCTGCCAGTGACGAAGCAGACAGTCGGAGTGCAGGTGAGACACCTAAAAAATATATTGGATTTAAAATTGATTCCTGACAATTCGCCATTAAATTAGCATCAAGCACTTCCACAGTGAAACTCTGTTGGTTGGTTTTCACACAGCCGAGCGGGAGCGCCGTGCAGACATTCTGAGGCTCAGGAGGAGATTTATAAAGGATAAAGAGAAGGAGAGCATCAGATTCGCCAAGAAAGAAATTCAGTCCCAAAGAACTGAAAGAGTAGGTCTTCTTTCATAGATAGGCATTTGCATGATCATTTATGATGTTTTTCATAACATTCTTGTCTGTGTTCTGCAGGAAAGAAGAGCAGATTTGAAGATCCGTCAGGATGCTCAGGTCACGCTGTACCGCAGCTATAGAGTTGGAGATCTTCCTGATATTCAGATTCAGTATAGCAGCCTCATCACCCCGCTACAGGCTCTGGCACAGGTTCACTGTGATTAAGGATTATTTTAACAACATGTTTGAAAGTAATTTCCTAAATATAGACAAATGTATAACCGTCAGTTCTTTCAATTTGTTTTACAGAGGGATGCCACATTGGCGAAGCAGCTGTTCAGTTCACTGTTTGCTGGAGTGCTGGTTGAAATGGAGGGATCCAAGTCTAGTAAAGAAACAACTTCCATTCTTAAGGATTTAGTGCAGGCCCTGAACACCTTCCTCAACATGAGCACTGTCTACTTCCCTCCATTCATTTCTTGTGTGCAGGTGTGTACACAGTGCAGTGATACGTGTGTTTATAAACTAATGAGGCAATAGACAGCAAGGAAAGGGTTAAACCACTGCTCTCAAACTCAATTCCTGGAGGGCCACAGCTCTGCAAAGTTTAGCTCCAACCCTATTACTAGCCCTGATGCAAGTACATTTTATATATTACAGGACATGAGTTATCATCATAAGGCTCTTCTTGGTGTTGAGCCAGCTCTCGTCAGTGCCAGCTGTCTCGCCAGTCTGCAGCAGCCAATGGGCATCCTGTTACTGGAGGAGAGTTTGCTTCATGGCATTGGAACGTCAGACGAACCTCCTTCAAAACGAGCACGGGGCAAACGAGAGCTGCCACCTGACACAGAAAGATGGATCCACCTTGCCAAGTAAGATCAAACTCCCTCAGAAATGTCTGAAGTGCTCACTGTTTTTCATGCCACAGCCTCAACAGTTCTTTACTGATTTATATTCCTCTGTAGACTTTACAGGTCTTTGGGAGATTATGATGTGGTCAGAGGAATCTTTAGTGGCAAGATTGGCACAAAGTCAGTAACATTCACAGCCTTGCAAGCAGAGGCAAAGAGTGATTATGCTGAAGCTGTGAAGCTCTACAATGAGGTACTGATGTGTGTTTTCTTGGTCACAAACACAATATGGGAACATAAACGAGTACCTTGTTTTCCTCCGTCATTTCCTCTGAAATGATTTTGTGCAGCAGTAGTAGCTACACACTCCGTCAGTGTCTTCCTTTTTCCCTTTTATGACAGGTGACAACCACTGCAATACTGGATAAATACCATGTGGTTACCGTCAATATTGCTATTTTGAAACACAACTATTAGAGAATTCTAATTTATGAATATTCAATATTTATGCAGTGCTAGTTGTTTTTTTATTTCTGCATATCGGAACATGTATATGAATTTCTGTAAATACAAATATATTTGTAAAAAATTTTAACTTGGGCGTTTACACTGGGCTGTATAGCTGACTTTTATAGCTGACCTAATTGTAATGTGCTGTTTTGATTCAGGCACTGAACAAAGAAGACTGGAATGATGGAGAGCCCACAAACACAGAGAAAGATTTCTGGGAAACTGCTGCGCTGGAGGCCTATAATCACCTGACAGAGTGGAAATCTCTGCAGTATTGTGCCACAGTCAACATTGATGACAACTCACCTGTCAAGCTAGAAAATATGTGGAAGGAGCCATTTTATGTGGTACTATAAGTAATTTTGAGCAGTTTGAGTTTTGGCTATTTTGCCATGAATCATCAGATCATCTGGAATCACACCCATGATCAAATAATATCTTATCCTACAGTAATTGCTTATGTTTTTGTCTCTAATAGGAAACATACCTGCAGTACATGATGCGTAGTATGTTGAAGCAGTTGCAGCAGGGGGAGAGATCTCAGGATCTGCTCAGCTTCGTTGATGCTGCTATGAAGAAAGAAGAGCACAAGATCATCATGGAGACCCATTACAGTCAGGAGCTGAGTCTACTGTACATTCTGCAAGAGGACTATGACAGGGCCAAATACTATGCCAATAGCTGCATGCAAGTCTTCATGCAGGTCAGTTTTGAAAAAAAACAAATCATTTAGTTGTTTCACAGAAAGTATGTATTTTTAGATGGGGTGTTACATAGGCATGCAGACAGACACAAACACAGACTTCTATTTGTGCCTATTCGTCACTGAATAGTTTGAGATCTGACCTGGAGGAATGGAGGGCTTCTCCATTTTCCTTCAACAAATATTGTCAGAAATGCAAATACCTGATTTTTTCATTACATAACTTGGTTTTATGTAGAACTACTCAAGTATCGACCCACTGCTGAACCGCAGCCGTCTGACAGTACTACAGTCTGTCCAAGCTCTGACAGAGATCCAAGACTTCCTGAATTATATCTCAGGAGAGGGTGAGTAATTATGCAATTATGCAAAAATAGTCAATTAGGCAAAATTACAACTAGCCATAAGTATACCTACCTATAGTAAGTACATGTAGTTAATTAATATTGCTTGGTACTTATTTGTGTAATTACATGGTAACAGCATCACCTTAAAGTGCAACTGTATCTGTTCTTAGTCTCGGTGAATTCTCTGAAGTTCATGATCAGACGGTGGACCAGCCGCTATCCAGATGCTAAACTGGACCCCATGAATGTTTGGGATGACATCATCACATCTCGGTGAGTCTGGTCATTTACAACACCTTACTGGGGAATACAGATTTCTTTTTGCTGTTATAGTGACGAATTGGTTCACCTTGAAATGTCTGTAATGCTATAAAGCTTAATGGTGGAGAAAATGTCCCATTCTTGCTTTCATCTTTGTTTTGTTTTTTTAGTTGTTTCTTCCTGGATAAGATTCTGGAGAGGCTGACTTCCACCCCTGAAAACAGCATGGAGGTGGATGGTGCAGAGCAGGCGAGTGGAGAGGAACTCGGAGCGCTGGTGAAGAGCTGCAAGTTCAACATGAAACTACAAATGGCAGACAGTGCATGGAAACAGGTGCTCAGACTTTACAAATATCAGTGTTGGTGCCTAGTCACCATCACTTAAGATCATATTTTTGTGTTTAAACCACAGAAACAGAAGAATTAGGAACAAGCTGAATGTAATGTGTTAAAATTGACAGAATAATTTTCCGGTGGCATCCAAGCTGTTGAAGGAACTTCACCGTGATGCAAAGACGGATGATGCCTGGTTGGTCTGCTGGGTCCACAGCTTCAGCCGTTTCACTCACAGAAGAAGCGCTGGCCTTGGATCTGCTGAAAAGATTAATGTTTTGCTCAAGACTGTTCCACTTCTGCGTATGAATGATCCCCTCTTGTCATCTTTTCAACCCCTGAACCAGGCTTACTTTTCAAGTTTTGAATTTTTGCTGAAAACGCAAACGTTTAGGTTACCAGTGTAAAACCAGTGTATTGAGTGATTTTTTTCATGGTTGATACATTACTTTATTTTACAGTTGACGCTGGGAGACAGAGTGAAGGCTCATCTGCTCGAATGCTTTGTGACCAGAAGATCCTTCTGGGCACCACCTATGACCTCATGGCCAGAGCTGCGGATCACAGTCCTTCTGCTGTGGAGACTCTCGGGGAAGATAAAGTTCAGAAGATTCTCCAACTGTCAGGGGCCTCATCCATCACCCAGGTAATGAGTTATTTAGGTGTAGCTTTTTGGGATATATTTTTTATTGAAACCACAGATTAGGTAATTGCTATTGTAGAATTGGTCATGTTTCAAATAAGCTGATACAGAGATGTTTAGCTTTGCATTGAAGCTGCATATTTTTAATGTCCTCAATATGAAAAAAGCCAGAAATGGCACCATGTTGTACACTACTGTTCAAAAGTTTGGGGTTGATCTTTTTAGGGGGGGGTTTGGCGAAAGAAGTCGAAATAATATTACTATTTAAAATAACTTTTCTTTTTTAATATATATTCCCCCGGTTTCACAGACAAGGCTTAAGCCTAGTCCCAGACTAAAATGTAAGCCTGAGCTGTTTCAGCAGAAAGAAACTTGCACTGATTGATCTTAAAATATATCAATGCCTTTGTTTTGTCTCAAGAGGGACACCAGTAATGTTTTTTGTAAGGCCCATTTATAAAAATTACTTAAATGTCCTAATTGAACTATGGCCTAATCCTGGCTTAGTCTAAGCCCTGACTGTGAAACCAAGCCATTATGTCATTTATTTAATTTACTCCAGTTTACTCTATTACTCCTGTCTTCAGTATCACATGAACATGTTTATGCTTAATGTTTTTGTGGAAACTGTGATACTTGTTTTCAAGATATTTAAATTAATAGAAAGTTCAAAAGAACATTTATTTTTAACATTCAAATGTCCTTACTGAATACAATTTATTTTAAAACAATCTTACTGATCCCAAACATTTGCACTGTAGTGTACATGTTTGCACCTCTTTAACTGGGCAAAAACCCATGCAATCTCTGATATCAAGGTTAGATTCTTACAGTTTATACACAAATTAATTGCAGTATATACAGATTTATTAAAAAGCTGTTTTGATAATCATGGGTGTTATTTTCCTGCTCAGGTGGTGGAGGGTCTGCAGATGCAGGCTCTGGAGATGTTGCAAAGTGCTGCACGTAAGGCAGAAGAGGAAGAGCAGTCCTTCAGCCAGCAGCATGTGAACATACATGGTATTGTGGAGGCCTACATGACCTTGGTCAACTTCTGTGACCGAAGACTAAGAGAGAGCGAACAGAAAGAAGAAGGTGAGGCAACTGTGCACCAGTGCAGTTACCCAACTGTTCTCATAATTCTAATAGAAAGTTAAAACGAATGTATGAGTGTCTCACAGGATTTATGTATTTTTGTGATTCAGTGCATCCAAGTATTGCGTTGTAGGTGAAGTTGATGTGCTTATAACAACACTTTTGATGTTTGATTCTAGCAATCAGTTCTGAACTGCAGTCCTTGCCTGGACATGTAGTGAAGATGATGCTGAAGGCATTGAAGCTCAACTCGGTTGAGGCCAGGCTCAAATGTCCTCGTCTACTGCAGCTAGTAGAACTCTACCCCGCAGAAACCCTGGACCTGATGGTCAGAGAGGTGAGAGAAGATTATTTGCTTTGATTTTAGGGCTCATGTACAGTACAGTCAGCCAATCATTATAGCAAAATAAAGCCTGATGCAAAGCAGAAATCAGTGTCTGGAAACGCTGAAGCTACTTAAATCAATATTTCGAGATTAGATCTTTTAAATAACTATATAATTAAATAACCATAAATAACTATATATTTTTTTATTCTTACATTTAGCGAAGTTAAAGAATTTGCATGACAATGCTTTATCCTTTATCTTCTTCAAGAAGTATTAATTTTTCTCATGTTTTTTTGTCCTGATAGGTTGTTAGTGTGCCTTGCTGGATGCTGATTGGCTGGATCAGTCAAATGATGGCTCTGCTTGACAAGCCACAGGCGACAGCAGTTCAGCATGTTATAGAGGAGATCGCAGAATGCTATCCACAAGCCCTCATCTATCCATACATGATCAGCAGTGAGAGCTACACCTTTGAGGAGTCTGCGAGTGGTCAGAGGAACCGGGAGTTTGTTGAAAAGTATGTAAAGGTCTGTGAGACTTTGTAAGTGGCTTTGGCCATGCTGATACTGACAATGTGTTGTTTGTGTTCCAGGCTGAGGTCATTACTGGATAAAGGTGGCGTCGTCCAAGAGTTTGTAGATGCCCTTCAGCAACTTACTAACCCTGAAATGCTTTTCAAGGTACAAATTCCTTTTTCTCTGAAAGATCCATTGGTTGAGCCAGTTTTGAGATGTCAGACCTATTCAAGCTGAACAGATTGCAGTTTCAGTTTGTGCTGCTACTGGGACAGTGATTATATGCTACATTTAACTTACTGAGACATGACATTTTTATGACGCTATTGTGGTAGTCTTGAGTCTCAAGTAATGGTTTGGCAGGATTGGTGGGATGAGGTGAAGAATCAACTGGACAAACCAGACATGGACAAAAAGAAAATGAAGCAGCTTTATGAGGAATTGGCTGGAATGCTTGGTGATTCAAAGTCTCCAGGATTTGGATCTTTCAGAAGGAAATTTATTCAGGTTCACAACTTACAATACTTATACTTAGGGGTGCACGATTAATCGAAATAAAACCATAATGAGATTAGTCAGGCCTCTGTTGGTTTCTCTGTTTCTTACATAGATACATTTTATGTCCTTGTTGCAGAAATACTGTAAAGAAGTAGAGAAGCTGCTTGGTGCTGGTGGGTCCAAGTTGTATGAAAAGCGAAAAGATAAGGAGTTCCTTCAGCAGGTGGACCGCCTGGCTGTGTCAATGAGAAGTTTCCAAAAGGAACCAGGGAACATGAAGGAATATTCACCCTGGCTCAGCAGCTTCAAAACGGAAACACTCAAAAACGAACTGGAGGTACCAGGTTAGTTCAACATTTTTTTTGTAAATAATGTCACTTCGTTAAAGTTCTGCATTTAGTGTGTTTGTCTTTTTCCTCTGGCTCTGGATTTCTACAGGTCAGTATGATGGCCAATTGAAGCCTTTGCCAGAATATCATGCAAAAATCACAGGTTTTGATGAAAGGGTACGAGAAATAATGTTCTTATTAATAGATGTCATTTTGAGATGATTATTTCAGTGTGTAACAGTTCATCTTCTCAAACTTAGGTAAAGGTTATGGCATCTATTCGGCGGCCGAAGCGCATCATCATACGAGGAGATGACGAGCGGGATTATCCGTTCCTAGTGAAGGGTGGTGAGGACCTGCGACAGGACCAGCGCATCGAGCAGCTCTTTGGTGTGATGAACATGATTCTCAGTCAGGACACTGCCTGTTCTCAGCGGAGCCTGGCACTCCGCACTTATCAGGTCATTCCCATCACAAGCAGGTACTTGGATGGGCTTCTTATGACTCAATTTTTTTAAACTGGTCCTACAGGGTCTTTAATGTATGCTGACATTTACAGGATCGGCCTGATTGAGTGGATGGAGAACACCTGCACCCTGAAAGACTTCCTCTCCAGCAGAAGGACTGAACAGGAGCAGAGGACAATCACAAAGTGAATATTCCTTCGTTATTCCAGCAAATAAAACACATCATCATGCTTTTCATACCCTGCACTGAGTTTAATGTATTTTAGGCCCAATGAGTCCTATGATGACTGGATCAGTAAAGTTGCTGGGAAGGTGGACGGCATTAGACGATATGCTGAACTGTACAAGTAAGTCATCACTTCATTTTAACATTTGTCATGGGTCAGTGACTCCGCATTCTACAATGGCTTTAGAGCATGTATAAATTGACCTTGTATAAATAATAATACTTCATGCATTTACATTTGATTCACTGCAGGAAAGCAAAACGTGTGGACACTGTGAACAACTTTAGGAGAATTGAGCAGATGGTGCCTGATGACTTGTTAAAGTATGGCAGCATTTCACTTATTTTGCATTATACATTACAGTATTTCATTTCAATTTTACTGATTATCATGTAGTAATTTATTGACATTTGTCCTAATTCTAAAAGGAATTAATGATGGCATGAATGCTTGTTTTCAGACGTGCTTTTGTAAGGATGAGTACCACACCTGAAGCCTTCCTTTCGCTGAGGTCCCATTTCAGCTGCTCTCATGCTGTGCTCTGCATCAGTCAATGGATTCTGGGCATTGGTGATCGGCATCTCTCTAACTTCATGATTAACACAGAGACTGGCGGTATGATCGGCATCGACTTTGGTCATGCATTTGGATCAGCCACTCAGGTGGGCTTTTTGTCTAGTATTGATTAGTTTGACTGACATTTCAATGATTCTGTAAGGAGACGAGTACTGGTATAAAGAGCTACTGTACCAATTTAGAGATACAAGATTGATGAACAGCTTGACTTGATGGTTTGATTAAGAGTTGAGAACAATAACCTGTTACATGTTGCATGTAGTTCCTCCCAGTGCCTGAAATGATGCCATTTAGGCTGACACGGCAGTTTATAAACTTGATGCGACCCATGGCAGAGTCTGGTCTCATTCAGAGTGTGATGGTACATTCACTGCGAGCCTTCAGAGATGACCCAGACCTGCTGCTCAACACCATGGATGTCTTTGTGAAGGAGCCTTCACTTGACTGGAAGGTAGAAGAACTCAATCAAAGCATATTTGAAGCATGTAAACAGAAATTAATAGCTCGCTTTCCTTATTGTCACATACAGGTAGCCCTCAATGTAATCAAAGTGATCTGCCCTCGTTGTAGACCTGTTTCACATTTTCCAATTTTGTTTTAGTTTCACCCTGAGTTGAGGTCTATAAAAAGCTTAGACATTGAGTCATTATCAGAGAGCCAGGCTAACTAAATTGTGAAAGACAACAGCTCTACTCCTCATGTTACAGAACTTTGAGCTGAAGCAGCTGAAGAAAGGAGGTACCTGGACAGAGAGTGTGAACACCAAAGAAATAAACTGGTTCCCTCTACAGAAGGTCAACTTTGCTCGCAGGAAGCTAGAGGGAGCCAATCCCTCGGTTATAACAAGGTAGATCCAACCACAACGTCTGGCAAATAAACATGACCATTTTATTATTTACATTGGCAGCATATCATGATAATGTTCACTTGCATTAAATTAATGATTTTTTCTTCCTACTTCTTGTGAAGTAATAGTTTTAAAAATCGTTTTATGGACAAAATAATAAAATATAATAAAAAAACAAAGACTTTTCTAACCATGTTGACTTGTTAATGTTCTAGTGAGGAGCTTTGTCTTGGATTTGAGAAGAACCCAGAGTACAAGGGAATGTTGGCTGTTGCTCGAGGCGAAAAAGAGCACAACATACGAGCTCGACACAATGAGAAGGACCTGAGTGTTGAAGATCAGGTAGACTGCCTGCTCGATCAGGCAACTGACCCCAACATACTGGGCAGGGTGTGGATAGGCTGGGAACCATGGATTTGAACCAAATAGTGGGTAACATACAGTACTGAAATACAAGGTTTTTGTGTCATTCTAAATTTTGTAAACCCTTTTTCATAGTGTGAAGATGGATTTCAGAACTACTGTCATATGCTTTTATAGTAATGTTTAGCTGTACTGCAGAATTTAACGAGATTACACTAAACAGACCTCATGTTGATGAAGGAAACACTGTTGAACACGGTTGTCATATCCCCTTGCACTGCTCTGAAGGAAACCAGTCATCAAATAAAGCATCTATACATGTCAACATTGTCAAAGCCAAAGTGATCTATTATGACAGGGTGAGACTTCATCCTCTCCACTTTTATTTTTTGACACATCAGCCCTTATTAATCACTGGTGTAAAAATGATGGTGCTGGGAGCATTTTCATTTACACTGAGCTAGTGTGACAACCACCTTGTTTGGTGTCACAACTTGGTAAAGCAAAAGTGTAAGTGATAAAACCACCTAATCAAGTCAAGTGTCTTTATTGATCAACAACGTAGAAAGAAACATAGGCCACGGTTGGATTGCGTCAAAATATCTTCAGGTTTGTCAGAGGCTTTGGGTTTGAGCAAATAAAGTTGGTTGTGCAAGTACCGTAAGGTCAGAGAGATTACATAGAGATGGGTACAGGTTAATACACAAAGCAATTAATATACATGTATATTTTAAACAAAAAGGCTATTAAAATCATTAAAAGCCTGTGCATAGCATTGAGATACAAAACTGTCTAACGCAATACCGAAGGCCAATATTTGCGACTGCAGCACATTGCATGTGTTTTGCTCTATACTGGCTTGCTTGTTCAGCTTTACATTTTGGGCCTCCAGCCATTAATAAACTGCATGAGTTTCTTCACTTTAAGTTTGCTTAGCTTAAAGTCTTCTGACAGAATCTCCTCCGTTAGCTGTAGGAGCAAATTTCCATCAATTTTTTCTTGCACAAACAAAGAGACAACATCATCTGACATACCGATGAACCGTAGTGACTTAGAAACCTCCTCAATGGAGATACCTGATAGATTGCTTGGTGGCTGCCAAGACACTGTAGCTACAGAATATGAAATGGAGAACACATCTGTAGTGCCGTGATGCGGTCGATCGAGCGAGCAGCTTTTGGACTCAAGTTCCAGGGCGTCCGCATCGGCTGTGGCTGTAGTAGCGGGATCTGTATCTTTCTTTGTATCGTTACATTTAGGGGTTCTTGGAGGCAAGATAGGGCAGGACTGGTTTGGCTTAGTGTTACATTCCTCTGTATATTTGTCTCTGCACATTTCCATGGTGTAGCTGGTGGATTTGGTGCAAGACTGGGAAACCTGTTGAGCCTTGGAGGCCACAGCGCCCCCCTCACCATTCGCTCGCCTGCTGAAGTCTAACAAACCTGAGGGACAAGCCTTAGGAGTACCAGGGGTCCTCTTCCGAGGATAACTAGAGTAACTCCGGCAGTGGAGCGACGGAAAGTCCTCACCTTTATACGAGTCTGCACCACAGAAATCGTTTGGCCAGGAAAGGCGGGAGAAAGAGGCATCGACCGAAGGACTGAGGCAAGGGAGAGGCTTGGAGCCTTCACTGGCATCTGGTCTGATCCAGTTACATGGGTAACAAGCATGGTTCTGATCCTCGGACTCACTCGGAGACTCGCCCTCTCCACCTCTATTGAGAGATGGAGAAGAGGATCATTCAGTCATAAATAGTGCAGTTCACATAAAACTAATGTCCATTTTGTCAATTAAAACTATAAATTGTCAATATAACTCACATGTTGTGTAAGCCGGATGAGTAATAGGATAGTGTTGGGCTTGGGGAGCGCGTGTCTGTCTGACGTGGCTTGGCAGGAGGGCATGGCACTGTGGCACTGCTTGAGCCTGTCTGCTTGGAGCTCCGCGGTGGAATTGGTGGAGCGTTCAACAACCGGCACTCCTCCTTCACCTGCAAAGGTAACAAGAAATAAAAAAAACTGTATGGCTCTAGAAATTTGAATATTACAATTACATTATTAATGAATGTGAATACACACGGATACAAATCTTTTGAGACCGGCTGTGTGAATTTATCAAATAGGCCTTGAAATCATGAAATGTAACCTTTGTTTCTACTTGGAAAATAATTAGACCTGTACTGATTGACCAACAGAGTACACAAATAAGTCACTATGCAAGCACAGAATAAACTGCCTTGTCTAAGAGTGGAAAACAGACAAAGAGCCTTAAAATCATGTTTTTTTTTTAACAGGATAATCAATGAATAAAGATTTCTACAAACACTTTAATTTCAACTTGATATTCAGGGTTTCCACTCGAGCAGTAGATCAAGCAGTGATTTTTACAATTGTTTGTGTTTTACTGGTTAAGGATTTTTATTAACCCTTACCTTAACCAAAAGAACAATTTATTATTATTATTATTATTAAACTTTATTTGAAAAGGGACCATGTACAATTTTAACATAAATGTTTCCATTTCATGCATTGCACCGAATTTAGCCAATGGCTAGTTTTCATCCGCGGTCCCTTGGCAGGTAATCATAATCACAGATAAACATAAAAACAAAATAAACACATACAATACAATAATACTTACACACATCCCATCAGAGCCAAAAAAAATAAAAATAAAAAATATACCAATAACGTTCAGTTAAACCACAACTATATCAGTGTTTACAGATTTGAATCGCTTTTAAATAAAATTTTAGTTTTAATTTAAACATGTCAATAGATGTGCACATCCTTATGTCTTCTGGTAGAGTGTTCCAGTGAATAATAGTTTTCACTGAGAAAGATAACCCAAAAGCAGAATGACGAAAAGGAACAACACAATCACTAGTAGATGATGATCTAGTAGATCTTACAGAGACTGTAGAGCGAAAATGCACGAAATCACGAAGTACAGAAGGGACTAAACCATTTAAAATTTTATATACCATACACAAATTTGAGAAAAGTCTAAAATTGTCAAAACTCAAAAAATGGTATTTCTCCAAAACCCTACAGTGGTGATATTGGTTAGGCTTTTTGTCTAGAATTTTTAAGGTCTGTTTATAAAGAGATTTTAAAGGTTTAATAACAGTTTCCCCTGCTTGACCCCAACATGTCAGACAGTATGTCAGATGAGAAAAGATTGTAGCATGCATAAAAGTCTTGGCTACATCAGTGGGTAGACATTGTCTAATTTGTCTAAAATTGATCAAGTTATATTTTATAGTCCTCACCAATTTCTTTACATGTTTTTTAAAACTAAGATTTGGATCCAGCGTTAAACCAAGATAATTAAACTCAGTAACAATTTCTATCTTTTCACCATTTATAAAAATATCTGCATTGGAAGAATACACATTCATTTTAGAAAAAAACATCCCTTTTGTTTTACCAGTGTTCAAGGTAAGACACGATTGCTCTAACCACTGTGTAATACTTTCCATAGCAACATTTAGCTTTTCAGCTGCTAACTCTGCTGTTCTCGCATGTGTAAAAATAACAGTATCGTCAGCATACATTTGCACTTGTATCCCTTCGCACTGCTGTGGGAGATCATTAATGTACAAACTAAATAATAAAGGGCCTAATATTCACTCACATATCGCTATAGCATTCAGAAATCATTCTAATATACTGATTTGGTGTGCAAGAAACATCAATGCTGAAAACACTTAAGATTTTTTTTCAGGCTTCATTGATGAACAGGTATTTGAAATGGATTTTTCTTTTGTGAAAATCTATCACAAAAAATCCTTACTGACCCCAAACTTTTAAACAGTAGTGTAGATTTGTGCAATTGTTGAATACAAGTAACTTTAAATGTTTCTATTTGTTTCAAATAGAGACTATTGAGGTTAATCTAGTATAAATGAACTCACAGCTTCAGACTTTGGAGGCACCGGAGGTGGAGGTAGATTGACATCTGCACCAAGCAAGGCGGTTGTGGGGCCTGCTGTGGGGTATGGCAGTACAGTCGTGCAGCCAGAGACAGTCGAATTTCGGACCCCCTCGATGTGGTCTAGCACAGATCCACGGTTCTTAACTTGATCCAACCAAAGCTCCTCGTACGGCACGTCTGGTTTAAGGGAGCCAGAAGAACTCTCCTGCAGCTCAGGGAACAGATAATCTTCATCCGGAGCTTCTGCTGGCACACAATCTCCACATAAGCTAACGCAACCCTGAAGATTCACCTCGCTGTTCCCATGCAGATTGTTTCCGTAGACACAGACAGACAGGCGATGAAAGGACTGTGTGAGCTCATCTCGAGCTGAGCTTAGAGAACTTGGCAAATGCACGTGAGAGGGGCAGCCATTGCTTCCGCTGCTGTTGCTCCCACTTCCCGTTCCACCTGCGCTACTTTTTTTCGGGCTCTTGCCATCGTCGATCCAGTCCACCCGCACGTCACGGACCGCCCTAGAGTAGTCGTCAATGTCGAACTGCTCCTGGCAGTAAGCAAACCAGCGGTGGACCACAGTCTCCTGCCAGGCTTCTCCTTGAAGCAGCCCTTCAGGCACCAGTAAACGTGGCAGTGCTGTGGATACGTGCAAGGGGAAGTGCACTGGCAGTATTTTGTTTGAACGTAACGCACAACACACCACCACTGTCTTGGTCTGGATGTTGACCAGCTTGTATCGGTGGCCTTCGCGGATCAAATGGAGGTCATGCGGATTACGTGGTGGGCTGCTGGGCACCATGACATTCACAGGTAACCGGGTCTTCTCCACAATTGTGCGAATAGTGTGTTCTCCTTCCTGCATCTGTAGCTCCAGCGGGGAGCAGGTACTGAAGTGACCGCGGCACTGGAAAGGCAGGCTGATGCTCTCATTGGTGCGGTGGTTCATGCAGATAAGGCAGGGCATCTTTCCGCGGCCAAGCTTACTGATGGAGTTAAGTTTGCCGATGCGTTTGAAGATCGTGTTAAAGCGTGACTTTTCTCGTGATGTTTTGGCATAGAGGATCTCAGCCTGGCCCATTAGTGTCAGCTCATCCCCAGTGCTCAGCGTGATGTTGTACACTTCTGTGTCCTCGTTGGATTCTCCTGATGCCATCTGGGAGAAAGATGACAGCAGTTTGAACAGATCAACTAAAAATGTAGTCTAACTATAGTCTAACAGAAGAACTTTGACTGCTACAAATTTTGAAATTAAGTCAAAGAAATGTTGAATAGATATTTCACATTACAAACACAATGCCTGAGAGCCATTCTGATAAAGGCATATTAGGTTATGCCAATATTAAGATACATTAGTGCAGGAAGTCTAAATCTGCAAGCACAAAACCAGACCTTGACATTGAAG